TTGTATGTCATAGCTGCACATCCTTCTAGTTGCTGTATGTGGGACGCGGCCTCAGCATGGCCAGAGAAGCGGTGTGTCGGTGCGTGCCCGGGATCCAAACCGGGGCCGCCAGCAGCGGAGCGCGCGCACTTAACTGCCAAGCCACAGCGCCGGCCCAGGCAAAGATTTCTTAGCTACAACACCAAAATCGTAATTCATAAAAGAAGAACTTGACAAATTGGACTTCATGAAAGTGAGAAACTTCTATTCTTCAAAAGACACTGTTAAGAGAACGAAAATACAAGCCATAGACTAGGAGAAAGTCTTTGCAAAGTATATATCTGATATATTCTTGAATCCAGGATATATGTAAAGAGCTCTCAAAACTCAATGATAGGAAAATAAGCAAACCAATTTAAAAAACTAGGCAAAAGATTTGAAAAGACACTTCACCAAAGAAGATAAACAGATGGCAATTAAGCACATGAAGATGCTCAACGTCATTAGTCATTAGGGAAAAGCAACTTTAAACCATAGTGACATACCACTACACATCTATTAGAATGGCTAAAATTAAAAATACTGACCATAGCAAGTGTTAGATAGGTTGTGGACACCTGGAATCCCTATAGACTGCTGATGGGAATGTGACATGGCACAGTCACTTTGGAAAGCAGTTTGGCAGTTTCTTGAAAAGGTAAGCATACGCCTATCATAGGAACTTACTATTCCACTTCTAGGTATTTACCCAAGAGAAATGATGGCATTTGCCAATACAAGAACTCGTACAGGAATGTTCACAGCAGCTTTGTTTGTAATAGTCCCAAACTGGAAACAATACAAGTGTCCGTCAACAGGTGAATAGGTAAACAAATTGTTGTATACCCACTACTCAGCAATAGAAAGGAATGCACTATTTATATAATAGAAGAACGTGGATGAATCTCAAAATATTGTGCTGAGTAAAAGAAGCCAGACAACGGAGAGAACATGCTGTGTAATTCCATTTATATAAAGTTCTAGGAAAAGCAAACTAATCTTTACTGACAAGAACAGATAAGTGGTTGCTTGGGGATGGGAAAGGGAATCAGGGAGGAGAGGGAGGGAAGGGCCAGGAGGAAACTTGAAGCTGATGGATATGTTCATTATCTTGATTCTGGTGATTTCACGAATGTGTCAAAACTTACCACACCAAAAATATGCCCCAAATTGTACATGTTATATAGGTACAGTTTATTTTATATCAATTATACCTTAGTGAAGCTACTTAAAAAATTCCATTGGGGGTTTACAAGAGTAAGTTAAAAAAAAAATCCCAGAATAGAACCAAATGATGGAAAAATGTAAAATATGAGAGAGGGAAAAAAAGCCAGATAGAGGTGTAGGGGATCTACTGTTTATCCTTGGTTTTCTGAAATTTCACGTGATATATTTAGATATCTGTGCTTTTTCATTTATCTTTCTCACTCTTCAGAGAGCCCTTTGAATTTGAAGATATCTGCCTCTCTTGAGCTCTTGGAAATATTCTTCCAGCATTTCTCTACTGTCCTCTGCCAGGCTCAGGAATCGGGCTCAGGGATTACAGAAGATAGAGGTGAGACAGGGAAGGGCATTGTTAGAAATCCCCAAATCCCCACCTCTGTTCCAAACAAAAATACCTCTATCCCACCAGTCCCTCGTAAGGGATGGGAAGTTGATTTCTCCAGACTTGAGGACACCCCAGGTGCAGAGGAAGGCTGTAGTGAGGGGTGAAAAGAGTCAAAGGTTTATTCTTGTACATGTTCCGGAATCTAGTGGCTGGGTTTAAATTGCTCCACCCAGGAGATTAGACAATTATTCTCTGAAACAATTAAACCATTCTGTAGAAAAGATCTACACAGGCTAACAGTTGGGAGTGCCCATAAAAAATCGGGCTAGCCACTTAATTGTGGCCTATAGTGAAGCCACTGTGGCAAGTCATGCACACAGAGCTTCCAAACAGCCTTTAGAACCTCATTCCTAAATATGAACAACTGAGCATCGTCAGGCATTTGGGGAAAGCCTTCAACATGAAAGAGAAAGTCAAAAACAGAGAAGCGGTACTCATGGAAGTATAAAGATGAGAAGATTCTGCATCCAAAATTCAGAGAACAAGAAAGAGGAAAATTCAAAGAACAAGAAAGAACTCTTGGAAATTAAAATTTTGATAGCAGAAACGAAGAACTCAATAGCAAGGTTAAAAAACAATGAGAAGGATAATAGAGAAATGATAAGTGAAGTAGAGGAACAATATGATAGGAATTGCAGAAATGTAGACCATAGAAAATGAAGGGGAAGACGTAATCTAAGAAATAACACAAGAAAGTTTCCCAGACTGAAAGCTAGAGTTCTCAGATTCAAGGGGTGGGCAGAGAGCTCAGCGTAATGAAATTTAAAGACCCAATTTAAAACACATCCTCAAGGCTTTCAGAGAAAGATAAATCATGAATAAAAAATAATGGATTTGCACTATTATCGTGTTTCTCAAAAGCAAAATTACAAGCTAAAAAACAATGGAGCCTTCAAAATTCTAAGTGAAAATTATTTGATACCTGTAGTCCTATACTCAGCCAAACTATCCACAAATGTGAGTGCAGAATTAAGGTCTGTTGAGAAACATGCAGTCTCAAAAAATTTCCCTCTCAGGAAGCTACTGAAGTATGTGTTCCACCAACATGAAGTAAGCCAAGAGGGATGAAGACATGGAATCCAGGAAATAGGGGTTTTAACACAAGAGGGAGATGAAGGAAACGCCCAGGGTGATGGTGAAGGGAGTTCCCGACAAGAGCTATGGGAAAGGGCCGAGGGCTCTGGGAGGGAGGCCCCAGGAAGAAAATGACATGAGAGGTTGTTTGACACACTATATGTGGAAGATTGGAAGAGTATTACAGAGCTCTTGGATTGTATGGAAAGACCTGCGTATATGTTAAAAAGAAACACATGTAAATGAATATTTGCAGCAGGAAAAACAAATTAATTGTACTGGGAAGGAAACAATAGTGAACAATATTTTCAAAAACTAATAATGAAGATTTCAAAGACTTAGTATGAGGAAAAGAATATGAATAATTCATTAATGATTTTTATATTGATTACATGTTGAAATGATAATATTTTGATATGTGGGGTTAAATAAAATGTTATTAAGATTAAAAAAAACTAATAATGAAAACAGAGTATAAATACAATTTGTTAAAACTTGAGCCCTGTAACTATTGGGAGGATAGGAGAAACAGAAGGAAGGACATTAAAATCCACGTTGTCATAATAGGAAGTCAGTTGATTATATTTTAAATAGATGTATCAAGAGATAGTAGTATTGGCATATTATTTAGAAATATGGAGACAAATTCCAGAACAAGCAGCTTGAAAGCATTTTAATTGGTCACCTCTGAGGTGTTTCTTTCCTTTTTTTAAAATTTATTTTTATTGAGATATAATTGCATTGTGTAAGTTTAAGGTGTACAACGTGTTGATTTGATACATTTATATATTGCAATAGGATTACCATGGGAGGGTTAGCTATGGGGTGTGTTTCTCTATGTGATACTAGATCAAGTCACAAATATAACCAATTAGGAAACTAAAATTAGAGATATAAGTATCCAAATGTGGCAGGAGTGGGGAGAATCTTTCCTAGCAGCAAGTTAATAGATAATGTTTAAATGTAATACATCAGGAAGTGTCAGTTCCACATATTCAGAGTTAGGAGGTAAACACCAGAAGAATCACATTTGGAAACTGTTAAAACTGGGCACACCTACTGCTTATTACAAAGCCTTTTGGAGTGGGTGTGGGGTAGTTAGACCCTGCTCCCCTCCAGGATTTAGGGCAGGCTGACAGAGTGTGTGTCACAGGGCAGAAAGGTTTGCCTGTCTGTCCTTGCGTGCTGCAGACAGCTCAGCTGCTCCTGTCCGTGTTCGTGCCTCCCTCCTCCTGATATCCGCTGACAGGGAGGAACCCGCGGAAGCTGCCGTCTTGTCGGAAGTTTTGTTTGCTTTTCGTGCCCTTGGGTCTGGGTCTGGGTGTGGATTCCAGCAGAGGCCTGGCCTTCTCACCTCACCTGGAGATCCTGGACGGGGCAGAGTGGCGTGTTCCATGGGGGCAGGGTAGGGCTGCCCAGGTTTACTGCCTTTTTACTCTTGGCTGGTTAAACATTGGCGGAGCAAGGCCCCTGGGTAGTGTGTACAGTTGTGCTACCCACAGGTTCCTGGCCCAGGTGATCAGTGGGGACCGAAGCTAGTGGGGGCTCCTCGCCCCATGCCCCATACCCTGGGGCTGTGTTAGCCGGAGGAGGGGCTGCCCTTAGAAGCTTGCACAGAGGCCCTGTGGTGGCCAGTCACAGCTCTGGGCTGGGCCCGCCCTCCCCACACCTGATTCATTTCAAGGATGATTCATTTCAGTGAGAGCCCCAATGCCTGCGTTTAGACAGGCTGTTTGTTTCATTTTTACTGAAACTAACCATTCTTAAGCAATAGTGCCTGTGCTGCCTGGACACTGTGATGCATGGATGAGAAGGCCGCTTCTCGTGTCTCCTTGCTTTTTTCTCCAAGCTGGACCTTAAAAAATGTAACGTTCTCCCCGAGCCGTGCTGGGGCGGCTTTTGAGGTGGGAGAGAGTTTCTGAACTGTATGCATTTCTCCGTTCAGAACATGAATGGCTTTGAGGAAGGCGTGGAGTTCTTGCCAGTCAACAATACCAAGAAGGTCGAGAAGCGGGGCCCGAAGCGCTCCGTGGTGCTGGTGGCCGTGCTGGTCGGCTTCTTCTTGCTTTCTCTCATGACTGGTTTCCTGGTCTGGCACTTCCAGTGTGAGTAAGGCTGGGCGGTGGGCTCTGGGGAGGGTGATGTGGGGTGGCTCTACTTCTTCTCTCAAAGGACAGACCCAGGGGCCACCTACGTTGGACATGAAGGAGAGAATGGAGGGTGCAGTTGGGGGTGGCCGAGGAGGGGTCTAGGGCACTTTCAGGCCGTAGTTGGGGAGTGGTGAGGAGCTGGCCAGAGCTGGCCCGCAGGCTCATATGTCCACTGGCCCCTCCTGGCGCTCACTCCCCCCGGGTTGCTGAGGGCAGCTTCTGGACACTGGGGGGATGGGAGGGGGGGGTCCTGTCACTTCCTCTGACCACTTTCTTTCCCTGGTCTCGCACAGACCGGAGCGTGCGGGTCCAGAAGATCTTCAATGGCTACCTGAGGATCACGAATGAGAACTTTCTGGATGCCTATGAGAACTCGAACTCCACTGAGTTTGCAAACCTGGCCAAGAAGGTGAAGGAAGCGGTGAGTCCAGTCCCTGTCCCTGCTGTCTGCTCTGGCTCCCTCACCTGGGCAGAAAGGACACTGCTCTCTTAACCCCCAGATCCCTGGGCTGGCGTGTGACGTGGGCTTCCAGGCCCCTGGGAAGGGGGCCCGGGTCCCAGGAGCGAGAGAGTGGCAGGGGCGGTTGCCGCTCTCTGGCCCGCCCTGAGCCTCCTCTCCCTCCCTCAGCTGAAGGTGCTGTACAGTAGGGTCCCAGCCCTGGGCCCCTACCACAAAGAGTCGGCCGTGACTGCCTTCAGGTGGGTGCTGGGGAGCAGGCGGGGTGGGGGTGGGGTTGGTGTGCTCTCCTGGTGAGACGGAGTGCCTCAGAGCCTGCGGGGTGATGAAGCCGCAAGGTCCTGGCTTGGAGAGTGGAGCCGTCCTCGTTCTGTCCTTCATGGGCGTTACTGAGCAGGCTCAACTCTTCTGTCTCCAAGACGGTACCTGGTAACCGTGGTGGTGTGGCTGGGATGCACTGCACACGTGCAGGCAGAGTGCTGTGAAGGGAGGGGTGGCGCCTGCCACACAGCTGCTTGGTAATGGTAGTGACTGTTATTTTTCAGTTTGGGTTTGGGAGCATTGTGGTGCTCAGGAAGGCTTCAGCAAGTCTTCACATTTTCCTTGCTTGGGCAGCCTTCAAATACACTTGTATTTTAATAGACTTTATTTCAAAAGTGTTTTTGATTTTGCTAGTTTAATTTAATCTTTACAAATGCTGCGTGGCAGGTGGCACTCTCATCCCCTTTCAGAGATCAGGAAACAGACTCAGAAAGTTGCTAGTCAGTGTGTCCACACTAGTGGTAGAGCCAGACTGCAATCCAGGTTTTTTTCTCCCTCCGTCTGAGCTGGTCCCAGAATGTATCTGCTTGGGGTGAGACTGAGAGCAGAGGGTAAAGGGGCGAGCTCTCTTGCATTCAGGATCAAAAGGTGGGTGAACATAAAAGAGAGTCTGGGGGCGGTCCCTGCCTGGAGGAAGGCCCCTTAGTGAGCCCCTCTTAGGGGCCTGAGCTGCCCCATGCGCACCAGCATCTGGGAGAGTGTGGGGACAGGCGGGGAGCCAGAGCATCTCAGGCTCGCGCCTCTCTCCTCAGCGAGGGCAGCGTCATCGCCTACTACCGGTCGGAATTCAGCATCCCGACGCACCTGGTGGAGGAGGCCGAGCGTGCCATGGCGGAGGAGCGCACGGTCACTCTGCCACCCCGTGCCCGCACCATGCAGTCCTTCGTGCTGACCTCGGTGGTGGGCTTCCGTGAGTGCAGGGGCGCTGGGGTGGGCATTTGTCAGGCCAGCCTGTGACGGAGCAGGGCCAGGCGCCCTGGATCATTGCAGGGGAACCAGCGCTCCCAGAGCCAGTGCACGGAAGAGAAGAGTGCCTGCCCGCCGGGCCCCTCCCTCTAGGGGAATAAGGAAGCAGGAATAAGGAAACAGACCATGGCAGTAAATACTTGATTCTCCCTCTTTTCTTCAGCCACTGACCCCAGAACAGCACAGACCACCCAGGACAGTAAGTATCATGCCCTCCTCCCAGAGGAAAAGAAGAGGGATGTGGCCAGATGCCCTTTCAGTCAAGGGGGTCCCCAAAAGTCATGTGGTGGTGACCATCAGCACATCCCTCCGCCTCTTCCAGGCCGTGAGAAGACCCTTCTAGGTCTCTCCTGGGCCCAGGGCAGCCTGGGATGTCTCAGAGGAACCAGGCCTGAGTGTCCCCTGACAGGGCTCTGGGTTACTCACTCCACCAGCTCTGCCCAGCTCTGCCCCCGTGTCCTCCTGTCTCCCACACAGACAGCTGCAGCTTTGCCCTGCACGCCCGAGGCCGGGAACAGACTCGCTTCACCACGCCTGGCTTCCCCGACAGCCCCTACCCAGCTCAAGCCCGCTGCCAGTGGACCCTGCGAGGGGACGCCAACTCCGTGCTGAGCCTCACCTTCCGCAGTTTTGATGTTGCGAACTGCGACGACCAGGGCAGTGACCTGGTCACGGTGTATGACACCCTGAGCCCTGTGGAACCCCGGGCCGTGGTGCAGTGAGTGTCCCGGGGAGCAGAGGCGGGCTGGGGGAGCTGGGCGCCTGCCGGTGGTGGGCCGGGCCTTCGGAGTGAATCGCAGTGCGGGTTGGAGAGACAGTGGATGACTCTTGGCCACAGGCCACTGCAGACAGGTGTGCTGTGGTCCTCGGTGTGAGCTCCAGCAGAGCATCTTGGAGGTGCTTTCGTCAGCCTCGGCAGGGTGCAGAAGGCTCACTTGATGCCCCATCAAGATGGTCCTTCGATGCCAGGGAGCAGGTGCGCTTCCTTTACCTGCCAGAGCAAAGGTGCCGCCTGCTGTTTAAAATGTAGGTTTTATTATTACTCAGGTATGGTGAGGCCAACAAGTCAGGAGACCACTGCCGTTGAAAAGATGGTTTGTTACTCACAGTTCCCAGGGGGAGGGGCCCCACGGGCCCACAGGGAAGCAGCAGGTTCAGTCAGGAGGCAGAGGGCGCTGGGGGAAGACCAGGGCCAGAGCCTTTGTTGTGGTTTCTGCAGGAGAGACGACGCGAGGCAGGGCAAGCAGGTTTAGGATTGGCTGATTTGAAGAATTCCAGTGGGCTCTGGGGTTCTCTGTCTCTCCTTGCCTGGTACCTGGCCCTGGGGTGATCAGGGCTGCTGGATAGTGGCCTGGAGTGGACGAGCCCCGCAAAGGAGGTGGGTGGGGTGTGGGCTCTGGATTGGTTGGTTTGCATATGAAAGGCTTGCCTGCAGGAAAGTCTTTACTATCTCTAGGAGTTGGCTGATCCTGGGAGGGGCAGCCTCTCCAGGGTCAGCGAGGCCCCAGCTGTCAGAGCATCGGGATTACAGGAAATGAAAAGGCATAATTCCTCTGCTGGGCTGTCAGGGTGTGGAGAAGACTGCCTCCCCAGCCAGCCTCCTGGCGGGATGGAGCACCCCTCTCAGAGGTGCTGCCGGTGCGGTGAGCAGCCTCCGCCTGGGTGGGCTCTCCCTGACTCAGTGGACCAGAGCCTTCTATTGCTGTCTGTGGAAATGAGCTGGGCAGATGTTTTGTGATTAATAATGGGCTGAAATTCTGGCCCCAAACAAGACGGAACTATCTGCTGCCACACCTTAGCAGCCGGGACTTCTGTCTGAACACTCCTTTTGTGTAGGATTTCTTCCCTTCTCTCTAATTTATTAATTGTACAACAAATAAATACACGGTCCTGAAAGGAAAAAGTGGAAAATAGACATGCATGAAGAAGACAAATATCATGTATAATCTTACTATGTAGAAAGAGTCACTGTTAAATTTGTCATGTATAGTCTTCCAGACTTTTTTGCTATGTATGTGTATGTTGTATATATATTTAAAAATAGGATTATACAGCACGTTTGGTTTTGTTACCTGCTTTTTAAAAATGAAGAATATTGGGGCCAGCCCTGAGGCCCAGTGGTTAAGTTCAGCGCACTCTACTTTAGCGGCCCGGGTTCTCAGGTTCGGATCCCAGGTGCAGACCTACACCATTCATCAGCCATGCTGTGGCGGTGCCCCACATACAAAATAGAGGAAGGTTGGCACAGATGTTAGCTCAGGGCAAATTTTCTTCAGCAAAAAAAAATGAAGTATATTGTGATGATCTTTCCAAATCAGTAAACCTGTCTCTAACCGTAATTTTTTAAAAAATTATTTTATTGAGGTCACATTGGCTTATAACATTGTGTAAATTTGAGGTGTACATTATTATATTTCAGCTTCTGTATAGTCTCCATCTTGTTCACCACCAACATGTGTGCCATACATGTTGCTCCTTTATCCCTTTCACCCTCCCCCTACCCCCTTCCCCTCTGATAACCGCTAATCTGTTCTCCTTATCCAGTGTTTGTTCATCTTCCACATACGAATGAAATCATATGGTGTTTGTTTCTCTGTCTGACTTATTTTGCTTAGCCTAATACCCTCAAGGTCCATCCATGTTGTTGCAAATGGCATGATTTTGTCTTTTTTTATGGTTGAGTAGTATTCTATCATATATATATATATATATAT